AGGTGGCAGCAAATCACTGTTAATAAGTGAGTCATTGGGATTTAACCGAATCATTTAAACGGTTGATTCATTCAGGAACGAAACACCGTCATGTTGCTCAGAGACACAGAACAGCGCTGTGGCTGTATTCGGGATGATTTTTGTTGGCGAAATAATAGAGCAAAAACAGCAATATGGTGTCTAAAACGTAAGTCTCTTAATTAACTTATTGTTTATTGAATTCAATGTCACATTTGTAATCATGGTAATTTTTGGAGAAAAACGGCACTCTTCGTGTGAAATTGAATAACTATATGAAGTGGTATAAATATATACATTTTCTGCCATCATGTCTTGAATTTGTGATCATTCTAAATGCATTTTAATAGCCTGAATCATGCAGTGAAAGAAAACACACTAAATGCGCACGCGCACTAGTCTAGACTTCACGTAATGTATGCGTGCGCTCTGTAGGGATGTTTTGAATGGTTTTTGCAAAATACTCTGTCAAATCACACATCGTTAAAACAACAATTACGATATTATCGCAGACGATATATATCGCACACCCCTAGTTGTTTCTGATGAGAGAATTCACCAGAGAGCAGAATTCAGTCAGCGAGCACCGGTCTTTCAGCAATGACTCATCTGAATGCCTCTGATTGGTTTCATAAGCTCAACAGAGCTAATAATGCACAGTGCTGTAAAAACGTTCTGTCTCAGCGCCAGCCAGCGAATGCAAATGTGAATTTAGCAGCTGCTGGTGTGCCACACTGTACGTTCTAATCACACCGGTGTGATCGGATCAAATATAAAAAATAAATAAAAATTCGCCTGCTGTTTTTATTTTGGAAACTGCATTCAAAATCCACTTGGCTCAAAAGTATAAAAAAGTATAAAACTTTTGACTCATCCATTTTCTTAAAAATGGTTTAAAGGCTGAAATGTAAAGTTTATAATTTGATAAAACTTTTTGTTTTTGTGAAAACTTGTATCTGAACTGTAAATTATGCTTTTTACAGTAATTTTACAGTTTAATATGGTACTATAGACATTGCCCTACCCCGCTCATATGGTATTAATTTTATTTGTGCAGGTCTTAAAAAGGTCTTAAATTTGAGCTTTAAAATCCTGCAGAAACCCTGATTGTCATTGATATCGTTATCGCAATAAATACCAGAAATATCGTGATATATTTTTAAGCCCATATTGCCCATCCCTACTGTAAGAAAAGAAAAGAAAAAAGAAAAAGAGGTTGTGTCCTCAGTGCATGCATGTAAATTGCTTCTTTTTTTTGCTAACACTGCACAGAAGCAGCACTAGCATGTTCTGCTTGAGGCCTGTTTCTGTTTTCTTTCACTAACACGGTTAAAAACCTGCATTATACCCCGTGTACACATCTTCAACTGACCGTGTGTGTGTGTGTGTGTGTGTGTGTGTGTGTGTGTGTGTGTGTGTGTGTGTGAATCATTCCTTGA